GCGAGCGAAGACAGTACATACCTTAGACCGCTCGGCTACCGTGACCGGCCCCTTCCGGTTTACCGACCAAAATTTTGTACGGACTTCACATCTCTTTTAAGCGTGCTACATGCTTTTCCAATCTCTTCTGCGTTGAATCTGTCACTGTGATAATATTTGATGAGGATTATAAATTATGTAGCAACGGTGAGTAAACGGTGGTTACTAGGTAAAGTCTGCAACAGTATGTGTCTGTGAGAACCACCCACAGTGGATCGAGTGCTAGCCAATCACAAGCTAGGAACCATTCGCTGCTTAGCAACGACTGTTTACTCGCCGTTGCTAAGCAATGATTCTTGAGTTGTCACTGTAACGTTTGCTTGAATGTGGGCAGCTCCCACGCGCTCTTCTTCTTCAGCTTGTCTTGTGATGACGGAGTGCCTAGCGATCCAGAACATGACGGAGAAAAGTTTATGTTCGCCAGGAATCGCTGAACTACATAAAATAAGAGCATCTAATCTTTCATTCTTGTACACAAACTACATGTGTTGCAGTGAGATGTGTACAATGTTCAGAGAAGCACGTGTAATACGTAGGATCTGATTTTGTCTGCTCGTAGAAACATTACAACATTTTTACCGTTACGAAATAAATTCACGTGTTCTTCGAAAACTCCGTCGTACTCTTTCTTTTTTTCGTACTGTACAATGATTCGGTGTAGTTGTTGTTTATTATGATTGGATAGTAGTTGGTTTGCTGGTTGTGCAGGATAAAACTTGGCCGTCATTCTTGTGTCACTGTGAGTCAGTTGAGGTCTATTTTGGATATGACATCACTTGCCGGAAAGCTGAAGACAATAGTCTTCATCGACATCTTGTATGTCCCCCTACAAGCCCAGGAGCCGGGATAACGCAGCCGGCATAACGACTGGCTACGAACTTGACGACTGAGGGGTCGGATTTCGAATCCCTGAAAGGTCAAGAATTTTCTTCATGTCTTCCAGACCGGCTCTGGGGTCCACCCAAACTCATATCCAATGGGTAACGGGTGCTCTTTCCCCGGGGTAATGCGGCCGGTGCGTGAAGCTGACCACTCATCTCCAACTAGTGCCAAGATCAAGAAAATGTGGATGTACAAATCTGCTCCCCCATACGCCTTCTTGCCATCGTGCTACACTAGTTAAACACAGAGACAATTTTACTTTTTTTATCTGTGCCCCCTAAGAGATTGCATTTAGTAAATAAATTAAGTTTATGCATGAAAGAAATAACATTTCGAGAAATTAATTTATTATTCTCTCCGGTGCGCTTGTTACCCTTCATTTCAAAATTATCTGCCTCTCCGTGTCGCATGAAACAATCCCAATGTTACTTCTTTTTCTATATGAAATTAGAGATAAAAGAGAAATTATTCAGGATATTTGAAAGGGAAGTGATAAGAAGATCCGGAGACTGTTCGGGGATTCCCAAACTCTTTCGGTTTCAGTTCAACGAGCATCTGAACATCACGTGGCTCTCAGCGAAACAGCTCAGAATTTCGATTTTTCTGCCTTCATGCGAACCTGAACACACATTCATAGTGGGAAACATGGCATGGCAGCGTACCCTTGCAGATAAATTAGCACTCCAACAAGAGAAAGCGTTTTTGCTCTTCATGTTAGCGTATTATATTACCCACCAGCTTTCATGGAGATAATCGTTTCTTTCTTCATCACCCTACCCCTTTCTTGTCTTTATTTCCTTTATAAATGTTTCATCTCTTGCATATCCGCCATTCTTCTCTGCCTCCTTATATCTTCCGTTTCTCTGTATCTCTTTCGTATTCGTCCCTTCATCACCTTCCTGTCTTTTCTCAGCATTGATTCACAGTTACAAAAGTAGGTATACTAAATAAATCGATTAGAACATAAGTTTGCAAAGTTTCTATGTATGTTTACAGTTCATGAGGATCTGCTAAAGTAAAGTCATTCCAGACAACAGACGCGTACTCAAACTCTGAAATAACTAAAGTAATATTTAGCATTTTAGAATATCCAAGGAAGATAAATTATACAGAGTGTCCAGATGAAAGGTATCCAAAATAAAATCATTATATCTCAGAAAGAATATATTATACACATTGGGTTACACCATTACAAATTCTTAATAAATTTAAATGTGGGTTCCCTTGATTGCACGACAGATATCCAGACTTGAAGCATGTTTGGTGTTACCGTAGTCACAGCGTACCTTATATGGGCTTTCAGGTATTGAAGGTCGTTAATCTTAATCTGCTAGGCATTGTTCTTCACACAACCCAACAAGGAAAAAATCGGTGGTGTTAAATCTGGCTNACAGATTGGGTTACACCATTACAAATTCTTAATAAATTTAAATGTGGGTTTCCTTGATTGCACGAAAAATATCCAGACTTGAAGCATGTTTGGTGTTACCGTAGCCACAGCGTCCCTTATGCGGGCTTTCAGGTGTTGCAGGTCGTTGATCTTAACCTCCTAGGCATTGTTCTTCACATAACCCCACAAGGAAAAATCCACTGGGGTTAAATCTGGCTACCTAGGAGGCCAAGCGATTGGTCCACCTCTGCCAATTCATATCCCAGCTATATCTCTGTCCAGGTGATTCCTAACAAGGCGGTAAAAATATGGCGGCGCTTGCGCGTAATCTGGGCATAGAAAAAGAACTTTCAGAGTTTTCCTTTCCGATGACGTAACCAGATAAGTGTATGACAATTAGTTTCCGAGATATACACTTTTCATTTTGGATACCTTTCATCCGGACATCCTATGTGTGATGAAATGAATTAGCCCGAAGAGCTTCTGAGCATCCGGCTCTAACTATTCAACATGGCAGTGAAAATGCAGTTTGTTATCTAACACAATTCCAAGATCTTTTACACAGTCAGTTCGTACGATTAATGCATCTCCCAGAAAGTAATTAAAATAGATTCGGTTAGTTTCACGAGTAAAATAAATTATATTTGTTTTGATTATGATAATGTTATATAATTTTTATTGCACCGCTTTGTACCGAGTATTTTTGACTGCTAGTGGGGTGGGACCAAGTCCCTTGTACTGCGACCACTTCTGGCCTATTGTATCAGCCACAGATGATAGTTGAGGGTGATTGTGGAGCAATTGGTGGAATGAAGAATGGCAGGGGAAACCGAAGTACTCGGAGAAAACCTACCTCAGCCCCACTTTTTCCACCACAAATCCAACTTGACCAGACCCGTGATCGAATCCGGGCTGCCGCGGTGGGAAGCCACCGACTAACCCCTTAAGCCACGGCGCGGCCTTTTGTACCGAGTATGTATCGTCTTGTAGTAACTTATGATCATCGGCGGATTCTATGACATGAAATATTTTTAAATCATAAGCAAAGAGCAGAAATTCGGAAGAATTCTTGCTCATAAATCATTTGTAAAAATAATGCACAATAGAGATCCCAAAGTGGAGCCTTGTGGCACTCCTGACAGCAAGGGAAAAAGTGAGGAAGGCTTCCCTAAAGTGAGAACAGAAAATCTAGATAATAAGTAACTTTGGAACCAACTAATTTAACGATCAGAGAGTCCAAAATTACTGAGTTTATGTAGCAAAAGAGTATGAGGAATTTTATCTAAAGCTCTGATAAAGTAAAAATAAATTGAATCGGTTTGCCTTTGTGAAGTGACAGAAAATGTGATAGAGTATAATTAAATAAGTAAATTGGTTGCAAGAGACTTTGATATAATAAAATTATGCTGAAATATGTGAAATTTATTTACTATACTTTCAAAAATTTTGGAAAAATTGTTAAATATTGATTAGTCTGTAATTAGTAATTAGAGCACTGTTGCCATTCTTGAAAGCAAGCACGACGGTCGGTTGCTTCCACAGAGTGGGAACTTCCCTCGATACAAATTAATATTAAAAACGTGTCTCAAAAAATGGGCAAAATCTCGGAGCAACCTTTAATGATAAAACTGTGGATCTCATCTAGACTGACACATTTCGACGGACCAAGACGCCGAATTGCCTACTTAACGTCATAATCGGAAATCAGGTAAAATAAAACTAGCACTCAAGAATTCCGTCCACTGGGATGTGGTGCCGTGTAGATATTTTGCTAACCGACCTTTCGGAGGAACATATCGCCTCCATCTTCAGGGTATAAAAATCCGAGAGCGATGAACCAGCGTGAGCAGTTGTCTGTAGACTGTAGAATATGTAGACTGTACAGACTCTACAGTCAAGTTGGTTCATCGCTCGCGGATTTTTTGTACCCTGAAGATGGAGGCGAAACGTTCCTCCGAAACGTCGGTTAACAAAATATCTACTCGGCGCCACATCCCAGAATACGACATTCTTCATATTCACCGCAGTGAAAACCTTCAATCTTACAAAACGAACATTTTTTGGAATAACGGAAGAAAGGGACTTAAAATCTAAGAAAAATATAATAAAATCGCGTATTATTAAATCACACATGGCAAAGTCAAATACAAATGAAACTCATATGAGGGATTACGAGAAATGTGTAACACCGAAAAAAATCAGTTTGTTACATTTTCCCCCCTAAAAGAAAAATTAACAAAAGCTCGCTATCACCCCAGTTGAGTGCCGGAACACTAGCGCCACGCCGGAATACTCTGGAAATTATATTACTGTCCTTAGGTAATACGTAAATCCAAAGAATTTTTCTTATAAACGGAGACAAGACGAATCTCTTTCAACACCGCCCAGAAAAATTACTCCTCCAGGCGAATCCACTCCAATTCCCACCATCAGCTTTTCTTCCAGTAAAACAACGAAATAAATTAAATAAAGTATAAAAAAATAGCAAGGCATTGTAAGCATTTAAAATACCGTGAAGTAATAAAAAAGAAAGAATATTGTGGTTGTTTCTGAGGTTACGAGAACACAAACCCCATCCCCGTCCTCCAACCCTCGTGGACTGGTTACGTGTAAAAGCTGCTTCAATCGATTCACTTTACAGTTCTCTGTAATGTAAAAGCGTCATAAATGCCGCTTTCTACTTTCACAGGTTTCAGTTTGGCACGTCGACTTTGAACTTGGCGTCTGGCGCGATGCCCGGACTCAGCTATAACAATAGCTAAGGAGGGGGGACGAAAGAAACGGCCGTCTAAATGGATCTGGCCCCATCAGTAAACAATCTTCAGTTCACCACTGCCACCACCGGAGCGGGAACATATCCGTGAAATCGTTTTTACAGAGGTGAATCTCATATCATATCAAGAAATACGACAGATATTTTATATAAAATATAAGCCTTCGTGATCTTACATGCGGTCAGCTTCTGAGTGCTGTGATAACGTTCGTGTATGGTAATATTATTGATCAAGTGTTTCGGGGGGGTGTTCAGTTTTAAAAATAATGGAATGGGCCTATTGAGCTCCTGTTAACCGGCACGAAACGTTTATATCCTGCGTGTAAACAGTCTTACGCAGAAATAGAAGTGTGAGTCGAGGGCAAGAATCTTCTGAAATCAGCCCATATTTCACTTGAAACAGGGGCGAGAGACATTCTTTTCCTATCGGCGAAACTCCAGTCTGTGAACACACATCCGCAACGCTCGAATTTATACTAGTGATTAAACGGGAGTTCTCATATGCAGTGAATTGTACAGAAGATAGAAGTGTGAACTGAACTGTTTGCTTTAAATATATATAAAAAAATTTGGACAATCCGAAATATACCCAACATCTTTATACTGTATTTCAGTCAAATTTTTAAATATAGGGCTCATCTCTAACATTCGTTCTGTTAATTACGTGCAAATATTCATAACCAAAGCTCAGAGGTTGTTAAAATGTTCTGATGAATTTTAAACAAGAAGAACATAGACTGTGTTACAAATCGAGAAATTTCAATTTTCTTACAAGCTTGTTGCGACCGCTGAGGCATACGAAAACACGACTAGCTTTATTAACTGTTTCATTTCACAGTGCTAATTACCCGTAGATGTAGCTTTTCCTTTCATCTAAATCACATGCCACAAATTTATCTTGATAAACATACTGCCAAAATACTAGACGTGCAAGAAGTGCCAGATACTAACTACAAATTGGTGTCACACATATTACTCAAACGCTAATTAAAAAAGAAAACAAAGTTGCTGTGTAAATTAGATGTTATTTTTAGTGTAATTCCTTTGTAGAAGAAAAGAAGATGGGTAGCAAACGGGAAAAAGAATTAAGTAAGAAACTGGTGATCGAAAGGCGGGTGCTCTTTGCATGCACAGTGATGATTGGTCTGTCCGTCATACTGTGGATAGCGGCAGTTTCTACGGACTGGTGGTTCACTGTCAGCGGTGGACCAAACGGAATCTATGTGAATGAAACCAAGAGGTTCTTTCTGCGTAGTCACTCCGGACTATGGAGAATCTGCCGTACTACCTACAACACAACCCTGGGAGGTGGCGTCGCAGTGAGGGCCGAGGATGCACCTGTCAACGTCACTGGGCGTGTTGTTCTTTTCAGTAAGTAGAGCACAGCGAGAGGCAGCTCAGGGTCATTCGTGACGGTAACGAACTCCCTGGAGTGGAGTCCTTGATAAACCGGTGGTTGACTGGACAGTCTAGGTATTTCCCTGCCCTTTACAGGAACAAACGATTTTAACCGAGACATTTAGTGAGAGAGCTAAGGGCTGGACGACCGAAGTGCAATTCTCAATTCGGGCAAGAGATTTCCTTTCCTCCACAGCATGCAGACTGGTATCGAGGCCCACCCAGTCTCCTCTCCAGTGGGTACCAGAGGATCTTTTCCTGAGGCTAAAGCGACTGATGCATAACTCCATCTAATGCCGAGGTCAAGAATGGTGGAGATATACCTCCACTCCCTCATATGTCTTCATGGCGTGGTGCATAATTAGTTAAGTTTAAAAAAGTTGGAAAACATAAAGCTATCCCTATAACAGGCTGTGAGACGTCGAAGCTCACACACTTTCAGTAGACAATCGACTCAGATGGCGGTTAGTTTGTCAGCCTTGAGCGCCGACCGTCCTTTACCCCCCAGGAAGATCCCTGGTACTCATTCTGCTAGAGGCTGTGTCGACCCCAGAGCCATGGTACGACTGGAAGGATTAGGTAAATTGAAAAGAATAACACCTCATTGGGACTCGAATCCGCGACCTTCCGGCTTGTAGCATAGTGCCTCAAGCAACTACGCTACGGCATGCCCACTAATTAGTTAAATGCAGGGATAATTCTACATTTGCCTTAGTTGGTTCAGACGGTAATAATTTTCCTTGCCTTTGGGACGTGTCTGGTTGGAAAATTGGCAGGGAACAGACCATTCTAATTGAGGCTGTTCGTTGCTTCTCTCGGCCCCCCAGGCAGTTCCTTCCATCCATATCACGTTGAACTCTCTATTTACCATCATTCAGTCATTCAGCGCTGTTTAAACCGATGTATTAGCAGCGTCGTTAAATAAGCCATAAAGCAAGAACAGACTCATTACCTTGATCACGTGAGCCCACCACTAGCGCCTGTCCTGATATACTCGCATCCAGTCCAGTTTTTCACATATTATTTCCTTAATACACCTACACTTCAACACTATCCTTCCATCTACTCCTGTGTGTGCCATGTTGCCTCTTCCCTTCAGGTTTTCAAGATAACTATAGAATATTTGACAACACCGTCTAGCGTGACTCAAATATATTTTTGTATGAATGCCTTTACATGTTTCGTTCAGTTGTGACCATCTTCAGAAAGCGAAACAACATGTTGAGGAAATTACTGTTACATTGATCATAGTACATCAAATTGAATTAAAGTTTTATATAAAGATTGTAATTAAGATAAAAAATAGTTGAGTTAAAAATTATTAATATTTAAGATCTTAAAACGTTAAGGTTCGTGTCTTCGTGCCTCTTCTGTCACCGGGAGATTGGGGTCCCGGGCAGTGTTGTTTTCTTCTTGTATAGTTGGTTAAGAATCTGCAATTATATTATGGGTATTTTACATAAAAGTCTATGTACTTAATATTGGTGGAACGCAGTAGCGTAGTTGGTTGAGGCACTATGCTACGAGCCGGAAAGTCGTGGGATCAAATCCCGATGAGGATATTGAATTTTCTTTTTCAGTCTACCTAATCCTTCCATCCGCACTATGGCCCTGTGGTCGACTCAGCCTCTAACAGAAATGAGTACCAGGAATATTCTTGGAATGTTCTTGGGGTAAAGGGTGGCCGGCGCGTAAGGCTGACAACCTTACCGCTATCTGTGAGCCGATTGTCTAGAAAATGTGGGAACCTCAATACCTCACAACCCTATGAGCCTCCACGGCCTGTTACAGGGATAGCTTTACTTACTTACTTACATAGTTAATTAGCAATGGACGCCTACCGTCCGCAAAGTCGTAAAGAAGCCGTCTTCGAAAGTAATTAACTGATAACTCCGTGGCCTGTAGCCCGCAAGTGAACAAGTCCTAGTTCTTTCGCGTTCTATATATGCACACACTGGGTTCTTCGTCAAGAAGGCTGTTTAGTCGATAGATGGTCTTGATTCAACCCGCTCTTTAGGCAGTTATAGTATTATCTATTGAAGGATAGTGAAAGACCTGAAGATCATTCTGCTCGTTCCCTTATTGCGATAAAACGAGCTTTCCCATTCGTACTGCCAAAGGCTGTTTCGCTACACGCCATCTTGCAGCTGTAAACCCAGTAGACGCTGATGAGGGAGGTGGAGATCTGCCCGATGTTTCCATGTTTCGTAAAGGATAATAATTCAATATCTTCAACAAACTGATAATAAAGTACTTTAAAAGATTCATATTATGCTACTAATTATGAAAAGAGCCGATCACGTTTCTTGCGCAGCCCGCAGTAAGAAATGTCCCGGATACCGGGTTTGAGGGACCGAATCCCACTGGAGACATTGAGGCATGTGTGTTTCTTTGTGTTCGTGTTGTCGTATGCCTTTGAACTGGCTGATCCTCCGTCCAAGGAGTCACACCGACTGTCCATAAGTTTCATAATTACATAATTAATTCTGAATGGAAACAGTCCAGGCAACCTAACCCGTCAAGGTAGAAGTATTATCAAAATATACTATTAATTATTAAATTAGTAGTGTAAACAACACAGCAGACCACGAATAAACATGGAAATACTAAGAATCCCTTTCTCAAGATAGACAGGCGGCACAGGATCAGCCCCCTCCAAGAATAACAATAGGAGAATTGACACGAACCTGCATGGTTTATAAATTTTGAGCTTGAACTAGAAAGTTTTTAAAAAAGTTTTTAAGAAACTTTAAAAAGTTTTAACAGCAGAAAGGCTGCTGTGGATGTGAAAGGTTGAACACTGTGTGCATTGTGCATTGCAGACGTTATATGTGTATATAATTAACATCTATTGTAATAGTAGTTTCCGAAAAGTATTGATGTCCTCTGAGGATGATCCGTAGGGATCGAAACATGTAAGGGTGATGAGTCTTCAAATGATAAAACTTAAATAGTCACATTAGACGGTGTTATTTTTGTATTTGTATTTGTATGAAATTATCATTTGAAGCAGATTCATTGTTCAGAAGCTGATCGTCACCTATTCANACCAGTCTGCTTTTACCGGTTCTCACGGTCTCTTCGCTTGCGGATTTCTTATATTTTTCCTTCTACCCTGAAGATGAAGGCGATACGTTCCTCCGAAACGTCGGTTAACACCACATATACACGGTGCCAAATCCCAGAAGACTGCTTTCTTCACATTCCTGAATATCGGTTTAATATTACACTGTCATCTATATAGAGGTATCCTAAGTGGTCATTTGTCTTCATTATTCTAAATTAAAATTTTGTGCGTATTTTTCATCTCCCACATGACAGCTTCACTATCCACTCCGATTTGATAGTTCTTATAATTTCTGGCGAAGAGTACAAATTATGAGGGTTTTAGTTATGAAAATTTCTCACATCATCTTCTGATGTCTCTTCCTTACGTATAAATATTTTGCTCAGCATTTTGTTTCAAATGTACTTAGTTTATAGGCCTATTCGTATATTTAGGCAAGAGACCAACTAAAATTATTATCAACGCCAAATAAAGAGAGCTGTTAACATAATGGTGCTAATTGAATCACTTAATCCCCACTACATATACCAGTTAGGTTGTATGTCGTTATGTTGATTGAAGGAAAAATCTAAAGAGATTAGTATTACCGAGTGTTAAAAACAGTATCAAAGGAAGGTTTCATAAGGGGAACATTGTTTACAGTTCTGTCTAGTATATTAGTACTGGCTAATATTAAGAGATAGCCGGTCACGGTAGCCGAGCGGTCTAAGGCATGCACTGTCTTCGCTCGCTCGGAAGCGGGGATCGTGGGTTCGAATCCCGCTCAGGGCATGGATGTTTGTGTGCGTTTTTCTGTGTTTGTCTACAGGTAGAGGCCTTGCGACGAGCTGATCACTCGCCCAAGGAGTCCTACCGAATGTGTAAGATCTAGAAAAATCGAAGTGAACGGAGAAGTTCATGGAGGTAGGCCTAGGTCCACTGGGGCTGTAGTGCCAAGGGAAAAAAAATATTAAGAGATGCCATTTGAAGCAGCAGTAAAATATGAATTATATTTATCTTGTGTTTCCTAGGAAAATATGTCTACATTAATAATATACATAACATGTCATATATTTTCCAGTTTTAATTTACATGGCAATTTCTCTTTAAAAATATGCCCTTATTGTTCTGTGTATTGTTGTAAATCCCATGTTCAAATTCTTTCGATTCTTCGCAGCAACCCCATTATTTTTAGAAATCCTTACCTCGGAACTACAGAGGAGGCGGGGTAGCGTAGTCAGTATAGCGACTGCCTACTAGCTGGACCACTGAAGGGTCGGAGTTCGAGTTCCGGAAGGGTCAAGAAATTTATCTTCTCCAAATCTCCCATACCGTCTCTGGGGTCCGTCCAACCTCCTATCCAATGTGTATGAAGGGCTCTTTCCCCGGGGGTAAAGCAGGCGGAAAGGGAAGCTGACCACTCACCTCCACCTAGTGCCGAGTTCAAGAAAATATTGAGCTATATATCTACTCACCCATACGCCTTCTCGGCCTAGTGCTTAATTCGTTGAGCACAGGGATAACTTTACTTTTTACCTTTTAGCCCGAAATGACAGTGGAACGAAATTCTGTTTCTCTGTTAATGACAGAGATGTGCGGCATAAAGAAATGCCAGAAAATGAATTGTCTTCGACACGGTTAATTGCCTGCAAAAGGCTAAAATGAATTTAAATTACAAAATTCATTACCTACACAACCAACGAAATTTTGAAACAATCATTAGAACTTTGGGAGTTTAAAAATATGTTTCTGTATTCAGAGAAATTATGTGATTTTCTGATATTTTCTGCGTAATTCTGAATTAGAAGAGGCCAGACTCCTAATCCATAAAAGTTGAAGTTCAAGGACAATAATATAATAATAATAGTATTGATTTTTTTAAGTTGGCAGTCATTCGTATTTAATGCATATAAAAGTTTCCAGAATT